TCCATTTCTGAAGCACGATGTGACCACCATGATTCGCGGTCTCTCTTCAGGCTAGCACGGAGTTTTGCTCGAAGCTCTTTGCGAGTTTCATTGTGTTGGCCTCCAGCCGTTATATGCCGGTGAGCATCGATAAGTTCCAGCGACTGCGAAGAGACCCAATGTCCATGTTGGCGATTAGACATACCACATGAGGATTTTCATGTTGCTAATAAGGCGTCAATCCGACTGCGCCGCGACTACACGTCATCGAGCACTTTTGGAGACGTTAAATCCTCAGAGACAAACCGACGTTTGACAGATTTGTACTCCCTTCCGAGAAGCTGCTTGAGTGGTGACTTCCTTTCCACCGTATCGCTGTGGAATATAAACTCAAACGTGACTGGAACAACCGATGACAAATACCAAAGCATCAGGAAGATAGAATTCAACGCTCTTGTCATTAGTGCGAATGGGAGGTGATTTTATCGCGCCGTCGACCGCTCCTGAAACTGTGTGTTAGGCGTGGATGATCATGTATACGGAATGGATGGCTGTTTGAAAACGGGACTTCCACTTGTGCTGAGTTGCGTCGCTGTGATGGAGCCATTATCCATGCCGGAAATTTGTCACCGGCATCCGTTCTCCGCAGTTCGGACTTCTGAATATTTCTTGATACGAGCATTACTAAATGGAGGGAACTATAAACGCTTCCGGATCGAGCGCGTATTAGTATCATCGTATCTTAGGTGAGCTCCTCAATTGAGCTGATTTGCCACATTTTGATATGGCGAATACAGCCTAGTCACAATTGCATGTATCGCGTTGCGAGGAAGTTTACTTGAGACATCGAGTCGAGAAGCTAAGTTAAAATTATCCATTGTTTCATAGTTGCTAAGACACTCACCGGAACTGCTCCCTTCTGTTTAATTATCAACCGTTGTAAGTCTCGCCTGAGTCGGTTGTCATTGCACCTACGCCGAAAATACTTTTACACTGATGTAAACTTATGTGTATCCACGTACCATGCTATTGTTTGGGTGTCCTGTGTTTTGACAGCACTCCGACATACGCTAGGCATGTGTATCTGTCTATGTCTCATATACAAATGGCCCTTCTGATCCTTTCTAACTTTTATCGCTGGAATGTATCATTTTTTTAGTCATCTTAGTCTATTAGTTAATTTATATTTTTGTTCGCAAATAACATACGTTAGTAAATATACCATTTGCACTTTAACTCGGACGTTTCGCAAACCAAATTAGATGCTTTGTATACCAAACTGCACACATTGCATGCTAAGCAGAAAAGCAGCAATTTGCTAGCAAGAAATGAGAAGCAAGACGATCGGACGATGCTCAGACCACATTGTGGTGCTGCTAATGCAACTAAACTCTGTAAGTAACGGATGTTAGTGCAAGCCATTCTCTTGATCATAGTATTGATCATCTCGATCAAAGATGGTGACCTAGTCGTCCGTCGTTTCCCCCTTCCCCCCCTCATGTGCCTTCGTGTATTTTCTGTACGTGTGTGAGCGACTATTGGGACAGTGTAGGTACTAGAGACGTAAGCGGAGCTAAAATTGTGTATCGACTAAGCATTGATCGGCCAGCAATTACCAGTCCGTGTAAAACGAATCGAACTATACCGTCAATATGATAAACCCGTGGAGCGAAACTCACTCACACTGGCTGAAAACCGGACGCACAAAAATGAGCGATATTGACCTCCTAAATTGGCATGCTTCGGCTACCATAGGTAGCCGACTTAACTTATGGTGTAGATAGACTCCCTGTTTACCGAGCTTTGGTCTTCTGTATTCCTTCGGTTGGGTGGGCGCGTGACTGAGAAGTCAGACAGTCGCAGTCTCACAGGGCAGCAAGGCAAGCAGTACAACAATTGCCAGTGACAGAAAGCAGAGGGAAAGCAGAAGCGTTACAACAGTGGCGACGGAGGTGGGAGGTGGCTGTTATGACTCCACCAAATCCTGCCTAGTTTTATTAGCCTTGTGCTGTACAAAACAACCACAATAAGTGACGAACGAAGGGAGAGCACATCTGGAGCAGCGACGATACAACCGAACATCATTGGCCCAAAAAGAATTTCTTACCTAGCTTGAGTTTGCCGACGGCCAAACCACCCAAGAAGCTACTGAAGTCGCCGTTATTGGCGTGCCTACAATGTGGCCTAGACAGCCTCCAGTCGCTTTACTCACCATTCTTGGGTAAGAAATTGCAGCAGTAGGCCAACAAACGATAGCACAGCAAAAAACCCCATCAGTACCTACAGGCGAAAAGGTACCAACACTCTGCGCGAATTCGGAGGAAACAACAGTGCGTAGAAAAGACCGTTGAACGGCATTCCGACGGCACTTTGGTGCAGCTACATCAGCGGCTGGTGGAGAACGCGATCTGTGTCTACCGTCTTCAATACCTTCCGAAGGCTAAAGATTACGGTTAAGAAGTGCCAGTACGAGCTAATCCGCGTCAACAGTGCCTCAACAATCGCAACCAATTACCTTGTAGCGTCACTACTACTCAGATGTGTCCTTTCTTCGTTCGTCACTTATTGTGGTCGTTTTTTGCAACACATGGCTAATAAAACGACTGAGTTTAATGGAGTCATAACAGCCTACTCTGTCCCAATAGTCGTGAAGCTGCTTAGGTTCGCTCACACACGTACAGAAAATACACGAAGGCACGTGGAGGGGGGGGGAAGGGGGGAAACAACGGACGACGAGGTCACCATCTTTGATCGAGCTGATCGATACCATGATCAAGAGAATGGCTTGCACTAACACCCGTTACTTACACAGTTTAGTTGCATTAGCAGCACCACAATGTCCGATTGTCTTGCTTCTCATTTCTTGCTAGCAAATTGCTGATTTTCTGCTTTGCATGCCATGTGCGCAGTTTGGTTCACAAAACTTTCGATTTAATCTGAAAATTATATATATATATATATATATATATATATATATGAAAACAAGTAAATAGGTTGTTTTTCGACCGTGTGAGACTTTCTAGGCTGTTATTTCGATCAAATCGTACACATTAATCGTAAAAATGGTTGATTGTTGAAGTAGATAGACAATTACCTGCTCTCTTGATTTGGCGAGGCACACCTCATTTAACGGTCATATGAATAGCAATGTGTCGAGCACATGTTGGTTAGTTGCTCGCGAAGCATTGCAAATTGGCAGTTTTGTGTGTCAGCAAAATGCTGGTAAATGCTTGGCCTTTGCTGTAGTCTGTCATTGTAGCGGGGTGAGGAGTAGCTTAGTGGAGGGCAAAGTGCTGAACACAAGCGCGATTTTAGCCAGAAGTATTGATGTGTTTCTCCCTGTGGAGGGATCAGCGCACCGAGGTTATTTGTTGGGAACAAGACGCCGATCAGCCATGTGCACCCGAAGACTACGCAGTATGTGCGCGAGAATCTCAGTGAATGAACAGACTGGATGAATAGAACAATGAACAGGTTAACTTAACAGGCAAGTGTAGCTCACCACCACCACCACCACTTTTATCAAGGTTGAAATGTTGTGGGTTGGGAAATATGACAACGCTATAACGATGTGTTCTGCAGTACACTTGAGTAAGAATAGATGATAGAGGCATACATGTCAACTGCTTCGTGGCATATCGTAGAGGGAACTTCACTGGAATTAATCTGGTCCGTGTTCCCATGGATCGTCAATGGGCGTTGTTATGTTCAGGAAATCCGTAGCGAAGTTGATACTCAAAAGTTAGCTAATAGAAGCTCGAAACTAATTACCTGATATAGTGATGTCTATTGATACTGTTTCGTACCTATGTGTATCTGTGACAGAATTAGCAAACATCGGAACCATCGCTCTAAAGTATACTGTGAGAATAGCCGGGTGTAACATTCGTCGGGTGAAAGGATTAGAATCCGGTGGAGTTTCCCTCATAGGTTTCTTTATGAACATGAAAGCCTGGAGTAGAGATGACCGGCTAAATGGATGAGTTGAAATGGACTCGTGGATGACTAGGTTTACATTGCGTCGTTGACTTCATGGATGTTGCGGAAGGCGTTTGGATTCAACGTGTGTAGTTCGTGTGACATTCGTTGATGTTACTTGTGTTAAAGTAATCAGTGGAACCAACGAGGCATCACTTCCCGAATTGCACTCACAGTGTCAACTTATCTTACTTTGGCCATCTAAGTAGTTTGATCAGGCAACGACCCCACACCTCCTGTGTTAAGATCAATGCAAGAGCATCTGGTTAGTGTCTTCATTACTTAATGACAGTTCGGAGTAATGTTTGGCTAGTGATTGGCCACTCACTATTTTGTTGACACATTGTGTGCCGTACCGTATTTGCCAATCCACCGAAGACCAGCGAATGTCAACAATGATGTTTCCAGTCTCTGCTGAATCGTTTGTGTTTACACTTGCCAATGTTAGTGGCTTATTTGACCGCACTTACTAACCTGCGTTTATATGGTCCCTTGTAATTAGATCTGATTGGCCACCAGGGGTGCCTCCTCTGACTTTTATCTTGGTTTCAACCCATCTGTGACCGTCACTAGCGCCAGTTCGCAATGCCTTCAGGTGTCGCTGTTCATTTGCGTACGATGTTCATTGCTAGGTTCAGAAATTGAATTGGGGTTGTCGGTGGGAATGAGTAGTTCAGGCGCTTAGATTGCAGTTGTTTAAGCATATGTATGCGTATGCTTGCATCTGTTGCATTTTTCCCTATTTTCTTTTATGTATTTCGGCACAGTAGGTAAGGTGTTTTCCACCTCTAGCTAACGTGTATAATAATGATGATAATGCATATGCTGCAGCTTCAGTGTCATGCAGATGGGCCGATGGGATCATCAAATCCATGGCTAGTCACTTGTGAGATAGCAAATACCTTTGGACCATCTGTCTCCCATTCTTCAACAATTACCAATCGCAGCTGCAAGCACCATGATGTTTACGGCAACCTATTTGTCATGTCACTACAGCATTGTTTCCCTCTCACCTTTTGTATGGCTGCGAATATCTGTTCCAGAACCGAAATCTCGCGTTTGTGGATACTGTGAGAAAAGGTTTTCTGAAAGCAGCACTCTCCGAAAGCACATTGTCTCTATTCACTTGAGTGAGTATGGTATCACATTTGTAATTCTTTGTGTATCCTGTCAACCAAATGTTTCAAACTTTCCTGTTTCCTCTATGTCACTAAACATCTAGACCATACTGTTTCGTATCAAAAGCTGTTCCGTCTCATTTCCTCACTGTTATAGCGACACTGTACCTTCTACCGTTGATTCCAGCCCTACTGTGTTTGTAGTACACGTGTATGCATTACCTAGTGGATGAATAGTTTTGTAAACTGTGGATGTGTTATTGGTTGCCATAGTAAGGCATATGTATCGTCAGTACGCTAGTACACAGTACCAACGCTTCGCTTCCGCGCAACCATCACCATTCACACGTAAGCTAAGGATGCTGCGATAGTCGGCAGATCCCTACACAGGCTCGAACCCACACCCTCGGATTACAAGGCAGGCTTGTGATCTTTAAGGCTATGGGTCGGCGCTGTAGTAAAGTAGCAACCACGATATCAATTTAAGTGGTTACCGTTAGGTTGCGGCGCGCGATAACGATTGTGGTGCCATTTTCTTACACGAGGTGTGTGGCCTATCAGACCTTCTTCGGAACCCAGCTTTTATAGCCCAAGTCTATGCAACATAATAAATCCTATTGTTCTGGTAACTGTTTTGCTGCTATGCCGGGGGTCATTTGTAATGTTATAGTGCTGTAAAATGCGCTGGCCGGTGTTACAACATACCGCTTGTAACAACTGCATCAGCAGTACGCCGGTACGCAGTACCGATGCTTCGCTGCTGCGCAACCACCACCGGTCGCACGTGGGCTAATGATACTGCGAGAGTCACGTTGCTCCTACGCAAGCTCGAACTAGCGCCGTCAGATTACAAGCTCGTTACCTTTAGGCTACGGGCACACCGTAAAAATTATGCGTTTGAGTGAACGTACCACCAACCAACTAACCGCAAATTGTAATAAATGCCTAGAATTCATCTAGTTCAGCTCACTGTTTCCTGAGACAATGTTTGTTATTCAGTAAGGTTACTTCACGAAGTAGTGCATAACGCTGTTTGTTTGTGGTTTGCGCTTATGCTCTCATCGACTGCAGTTCTAATGCTGTCAGTGACACATTCTGTCATGAACTGAACGCGCTACTACGCATTGCTACTAGTTCAGGTACTGTAGTACTTGCAGGGGATATGGCTTGCCGAACAACCTCCTCGTGGTGCCAGCTGGGTGGTTCGGGATTTTCCCGTTCTAGCAAATGGTTCGGCGGCAGTGTTCCAGGACGTGGTGGGTTTTCGCCTGGCAAGCGTTCTCCCTATAAAAAGCCACATATGTCCGTTTAACAACACTGTGACGTGGCGGACGTGACTCGCCACTAAATAAAGTCACTGCCCCTTGCTTCATCCTGGCGAAGCATTGTATTCCAGCAACGTTTTGCTGTAGTTCTGGGGAGCATTGGGCCCCTGTTTGACAAAGGAACAAACAGAAGGCGTATTAACTGAGCAATCAGTCACCGGATCCCAATGTGCGCGATTCCCTGAATTCGCTCCGTTGCCTTGCGGACAGGCTATTCAGCCAAAGGCTCGGGGTGGTGTCACCTAAGTCAACACCCTACTTCGGCTTGAGCAACCGGGTAGTATCTCGCTCTCTGACGCAACCATAGACTTTTATGGGTTGTGTTTTCTCTCACTATTTCTGTACCTTGTTTTGAGTCCCTTGGTTTTTGATGGCTCTTGTCTATTGCTAGAGTGTTGCTATATATATATATATATATATATATATATGTGTGTGTGTGTGTGTATGTGTGTGTGTGTGTGAAATGTAAGGGATATGAACGCACAAGTAGGGCGTATGAACGCTTCAGTAGGTCAGCTGGGTGGTAATTATGTGCTTAACTCCGAACGGACTGACAACCGAGAACGTCTACTGCAACTGTGTGCGGAGCACCAGTTGTTTCTTAGGAGCACTGCTTTTAGACACAGCGGGCGCCGAAATGCCACTTGGCATCCTCCTGTAGCTGGCCAGCGATGGACCCAAATTGACAACATTGTCATAAGTTACAGGTGGCGTGGTTCCATCCTGGATTGCCGCTGGTAATGGAATACCTACTTCGACTTTGATCATTTCTTGGTACTCTTTCGTATTTTCATGAACTTTACCGGAAGGCGCACAAAGCGTCTCCCCCGATTGGCAACGGAGAAATTGTCCCAGCCCTCGGTCAGCCAAGCCTAGCAAGACGCACTGCCTACCGAACTTTTTCTGTCTTGTCCCAATGACATTGAGCTTCAGTGCAATGGGATCCCGGCCGTCAAGCACTACGAAGAAGCATCTGTTTGTGGCACTATCAATCGTCACCGCGCCAGTCACTGGATGTCCGAAAGGTCGGTGAACCTGTTGAAATCCAGAAGAAACTCCCGGCTTGCACAATGTGACCAGACTACTGTTAGGCGCGAACTAAAATGAAACCTGCGTGCTGACATGGAATCCTGGTGGACTAGTCTGACTCTAGAAGTGGAGGAGGCGGGAGCAGTAGGCAATGACTGCAAGCTCTTCCAGCTGACCTGTACCACCGGACCAAGATAACTAGGCGTCAGTGAGACAATCAGAGGCAGCGCGGGTGCATTGATACACAATATGGAGCGTCGTATGACTCGTTGGGCGGAACACTTTCAAGATCAGTTCAGTTGGCCGCCTGCTTCCGGACCTCTTCCTACTCAGATTATGCAGGACGTGCCGTGGCCGGTTAGTTTAGAGGCTCCATCGGAGGCTGAGGTCCGAAACGCAAACACAGTCCTCGATCGTTTTCGTGCTGCTGACCCTTATTCTCTCCCACCTGCACTATTTAATGATGAAGGTGAGGTCCTCTGTAATGCACTGGCCTCCCTTTTCGAACATATTTGGAAAGAAGAGTGTTCCGGCTAACTGGAGTGAGTCGATTATTGTGGCGGTATACTAGGAGGGCAGTCGCACCGACTGTGCTAACGACAGCGGTATTAGCCTACCGTCAGTGGGATCAAAAGTACTGGCCTCGATTCTGGTTCCTCGCCTCACTGTGGAACGGGAATCTCGGATTAGGGAACATCAGACAGGTTTCCGCCCAGGAGGTGAATATATAGGCCATATATTCACTCTTCAGCGGATGCTAGAGCAGCGCCACGCATACCGCATACCAACAATAGCTGTGTTAATCGATTTTAAGAGTGCGTTCGAACAGTCGATGGATCGATTCTGTTCGAAATACTAGCGCGGAAATGTCTTCTAACGAAATTTGTGGACATCTTTCGTGCTCTGTACACGAATACTACAGACCGCTACATTTTCTACGGCTACCTGACAGCAAGTGGCGTTCTTCAGGGTTGTCCGATTTCCCCGTTTTTGTTCAATTTCGTTGTGGACTCTATCAAGGAATGTCTTTCTCACCTTCATTGTACTAATGATCATTTTGGTGATTCGATTGAGTGCGTCACGGACAATTGCTGATGAAGATACGTTCGTTCGGAGTCCTGGATCCACTACTAGGTGGGCTATCATGAAAGATCGCTCTCTGATGATCACCTTGGATTACCATCACTCTTCCCTGCGTCCCTGCTTGACTCATTACTCTTTTTGCCTTGTGTCAGCGACTTCACTATGGTTCTTAAACATAGTATGCCATTCCTGTTTGCCGATGACGTAAAAATTGTCACAAGTTCCGACGAGTTGACCTTCTGAACACAGTACATCTCATTCAGGATGGCATACATACATTCGCTTGAGACATGCTTTTACAGGTAGATCATGAAAATCTGGGACAAAAATCCAGTATTCTGTCGCAGCTGTTTTGTACCAGTAGAATCTATCACACTCAACGACGAAAGCCTCTGCGTACCGCTGCCTACCGCGATCTCGGAATCAGACATTCCTGTACCTACACCTTTTTTAAGCAGGTTGAGTATCATTTAGAACGGGTCAGCCAATCTGTGGCTACTATATCTCTAGGCACATACAACCTCAGCCAGAATTGAACTTTTTAAAATTCTCACACATCCCATCTTGCAGTTCTTCCACCTAATCTGTGTCGACATGAGCAAATCTGACAGAAGAGCTATATGTATGCATTGGTCGTTTGTTAAACGCCTATTAGATTAGGATTCTAACAAGAATGATCTGCAGTGGTGCCAGCAATTTTATCTTAATTCTCTTTGGCTACATAGGTACATGCACAGCCTGATACTGATGTACAGTTTGATTTATGGCAAAGCCTATTACAGTCTGCCCACATTAAAATTACAGCACAGTTCCACTCGGGACTTTCGTCGTAATTAGATGAACTTAACCTCGACGATGCGTGACACGCCTGTATCTGCATGATCGGGTAAGTGCATACTTTTATGGAGCGTTCATCACAGGTGCATCAAGAATGTTAACTATCAGATCACATAATGACGTTTGGAAAGACAGCAATGACATAATAACTGGTGGTTAATCGGAATGATGTTGCTTGGCCATTACTCGTCTCTCTCACATACAAAACAGATAGATCACGGGAGATGATGTGGTGGTGAAACGTGTACTGGGTCACATGTGAAATCTACACCCTACTCGTACGCCTGACTTGTTGTTATAGTACAACCAAATAGTTTGATGCCGTTCTGTGCAGACAAGAACTTGTTGATGCTTTTTGGAAATTCGTGTACAATAGTGCACACACGTATTCCGGGTGGTAGCTAGTTCCAGAATCTGGCTTGCCTATTAAGGAAAAAGTCGTCAGACGTGCTGTTCTTGGATGTGCCTTCCGCCACTGAGTTCTGTTTGTTTCATATGTTGTCAACTGCTGATTACATTATTGTCATGTTTAGGTTGTATTGTATTGTATTTAACACGGGCAATAAACAACTGGCAGAGTGCCACAACACATGGGTAAAAACAACAAAAAGAGGAAAAGAAACAGTCAGCGAAATGGTTATGAGGGTTCATGTGTTGCGTGGGCAGTGAGCTTCCCGGTTGCCCAGGCCGAGAAAGAGGGTTGACTTCCGGGACCTCACCTTCCGAGCATTTGGTCTTAAAGACCTGACTCGCAAATCAGCGAAGCGATTCACGCAGCTTTCTGAATGCGAAGACGGTTGACAATCAGGTGGCTCATTCGCCTTTTTTGTATTCCGTTGCAGTCCACACAGAAGCCAGTGACCAGCAAGATTGTTCATCCGCCCTCCAATAGATGCTCACCTCTGGGTACAGAAGTTGCTGGTCAGTGACGCTATAGCCGGTCACATTGGCTTTGGCACATCGTCGTACGACCTCTTGTGGTATTTGATGGAGAACCAAGTGATTAGTCCAGAACTCCCCATGCTCTGAGACGCTGCCGCTGATTGTCCGCGATTGCTTATTCATCTCGCCTGCAAAGCAGACGAGACTTATTCGCAGTTGCCTCCACAAGGAAGACATTCCCCAATCCGCACCCTGGGGACGCGCCCGATAGCGTACAGCTTTGTCACGGGCATGTCTAGGTTGGAAACGTGTTGATTTTGTGCAAGATGTTGAAGGTTATGACCAGGTTGTGCTTCATACACCGTAGCCAGAGCGGGTTACTCTTGAGTTTATCGCGTTCAGAATATCAGTTTTGAAGAAACACCTAGAAAGTGCTTTGTAAACGTTTTCCGTACTTCCAATGCAATGCAGTCGCGCTTTTTGACAGTATTCCAACATGTGTCTAACAACTGACATGTAAGGCATCAGCAGTACGTCTGTACGCAGTACCGACGGTTTCTTTACCGCGCAACCACCACCGGTCGCACGCAGCTAGGGATACTGCGATGGTCGCGCGGTCCCATACGCGGGCTGGAACCCGCGCCCTCGGTTTACAAGGCAGGCCTGTGATCCTTGAAGCTGCGGTCCGGCAGTGATATGTGAGAGATAAGTATTTATCACCATAGGGAAAAGTCCTGAATACCAATCCAATTTTCTATCTTTTTCTCGCGGTGGCAAAGCGTATTTGTTCACAGAGCTCCAGTGAGCATGAATATTGGAATCCCAGGTATCTTACCGGCGGACTGAGATTACGTGGTTTGCCACTAAAAGTCAAGCCTTTATGCACCAAATTGCACTTCTTGGACATTGCACAACATCTGTCAGCAGAGCAAGACATTTTCCACTTTGAGCACCAGGTTTCAAACGCATGGAGGTCCAGTTGGATCATGTTAACAGCATCATTGGAAGCATCCGAACGGAAGGTGTATTTGATTTTAATATCTCATCAGACTTATACTTTCGCCACTTGAAACCTGAGTCGTGTGTTCAAATGAAATATATTCCGACCATTTTCTTACCTTGGCCAACGAGCACCGCTACTTAAAGATTTGATTATCATTATAGTAGTCTATCTTCTTTCTTTTCTAGGACTTATTACCTGCTATTCCATTTGTTGACTGGGTACCTTATCCATAGCTGTGACTTTAGGCTATTGATTTTAATGTCATCTGCAGACAGGTACGGAGTCCCGAATTTTACTATATAGAAAATATCGTTAACATCTAATAAAATAAGTAGCGACCCAGGGACATTTCCTCGTATCACACCACTGCTGACAGATTTGGGTACTTGAATTTGTTCCACCTGCGTTCGATTTGTAAGGTATAACATGCACCAAGAAAGCGGAGTTTCACCGATCTCGTAGGACATCATTTTAGCTATTAGTTTTTCATAAAGAATCCGACCAAAGGCCTTGTGCATTTCGAGGGAACTTAGAGTTGCCGACATACCAAGATTATGCGCGAGTTATATAGTTCAGAACTTTCGGGTGACACGTAATGCAAGACCGATTATTCGAGAAGCTGTGTTAAGAGTAGTTTATTCGCTTTCTTGATGATACGAATACAACTGTTTTAGATTTGATATGTCACTCCATAATTTTTGATAAGATGGATGTGTGGCTTATTGAATGATAATTTCTATGCTCGAACTGTGGGCCTAATTTGTCTCTTGACACAACTATTGCTTCTGTCCACTGAGATGGAACAGTGCATGTGTTCATGGATAGATTAAACATACTCAACAACAGCAGTGATGTCATCCCCGCTCGATTTCACAACTGCGGGGGATTATTGTCTGGATCCCCGCAGTATGATTGCTTCGGGCACCTGCCCTGGACTTCAAATCTAACACAATTGTGGTGATGGTCTATGACTGCTCGCAAGACCACGCACAGTATCCACGTTGGAAGAAGCACAGGATTATTGATAAAACATTAGTTAGTTTGAGCAAGACCTGTTAGGTTGCAGCCATCTTATGCTGCATGTGCCTTGGATGCGTTTCGTGGTTCTGCGCAGTTTCTAAACCAACCGCTGAGGGCCCGCTTTTCATCAGCAAATCTATCTTGGTGTTATACCAAGATTAAGGACAAATATGCGGTCCAACTTATTTATAATCAAACACGATGCCCTGTAAAATCGGCCTCCAATCACTATCAGGTCATGTGAGAGTGCACAGTTATTTCGTAAAAAACTCGGAAGCTACCTCGATCTGGACACGACCATGACCTTTGTTTTGTACAGGAGATCGTCTGGCAATCTATTTTATGCGATTCTAGATTATATTTAATCAGCGAAGGTCACTCAATGCAAGCAACCTTCAGCGTTTCCCGCATCCTCAGCGCGTAAAAATGCCCTGCAATTTAAAGCTAAACACAAACATGTACATTGCCAGAAACATTTACGCAACTGCATTTTGCCCATGCAAGACCATGTTGTCTGTTTGTTTATCGTTTATGCCAAACATGAACGCGGGTTCTAATGAGAAATACGCATCCTATTACTATTAATATTACTGTGCTGTTGGAACCTACATTTCTTGCTCATCCTCTTATTTTTCATCTAATCAATTGCAAGTTGTAATACTCATTGGGTTTGCGGAAACGCATTTCGTTTTTCACCTTGCCTTGCATGTAACTGCCCATGTCTTGTTTTCGCTTCCAGAAGTGCGACACGTATGCGAGCACTGTAAGAAGTCCTTTTCGAGAAAGGACAAGCTCCACACCCACAAAAAGACTGTCCATCTAAGTGAGTGCAGTGCAGAGTGCCTCATCGGTACGTAATCTGTTACCTTGGACAAACGGTAGCGATATGATTGCCCATACGTTTATCTGCCATATTTCACCATGTGACATCAGTTGCATTCTTTTAGACACAGTGCATCGCTTGCTGCTCGTTTTCGATTCGACAGTGTTAGCTACTCAACTGCGGTTGGCGCTTATATTGTTCATCACGGAATTAAAAGACTGATAAACTTGTTTATTTTCCGTAACTGTATTTACACCGATTAACTTGTGGTAGCTGTGAATGAAGGCACTAATTGTTCACACCTCTGGTACTATTATTCGGATTTTTCAAACCACTGAATCCAAATCGTTTGCATAACCTCGATAGAAAAGTACTTGGTATAGCACTGATCGGGCACTACTGCAACAGAGTGATTGATAACGACCATGTTAGCAAGGTGCGAGTGTTGGGCGGGGACAGTGAGATGCGAGCGCGTGTCACTGTACCATCCAGCGAAAGGCAGCGTGTCTCCATACTGGAATGTGCATCCTCCGCAGCGATTTGACCTACTTTGTCCTGCTGCGTGTGAGCGTTGACTTGGGGATGGTCCGAAGTGTGATACTGGACGATTGAGGTAGCTTTGTTGCATTTGGTTGATTGTTTGGACTCATCTGCTGTTGGCTGGAAGCAGGTTAATCGCTTCCAAATGTTATCTGTTGACTGTCTTCCTCGGTTCTGTTCTTACACAGAGCGCTCGGTTGTGGCACGCCCTTTTGTGTGCATTGTACCCATTAGCTTGTGTACATTTGGAAACCGCTCAACTGACCGAATACCTTCGTAGCATTCCGACTGAGACACTGCGATATGGCCATTTACAGCTATCCTCTAACGAACAGATGGTGGTTCTGATTGGGGCAGAAACTGCTTGTGAGTGGAAACGCTACGGTACCGGTAGGCAAATGGCCAATCGAACGCCACCGGACATCTCGCAGGTTGCCAGACAAGTGCAATCCAGCCCGATGGAAAGTGAGTATTTCATGGAAAGCAGATTGGTCAACCGCGCAGCAAATGGTTGGCACACTCCCGCGTCGAGCTCTGCGAGTACAACTAGCAAACATCTAGTGAGTATACTGGTGACCAATCAGACGCCAGCAGGTTCCAAAAGCACAGCCGAAGAAGCGCGTACCCGTGTGGAGCGTATTGGTGCGCACTTTAGCCAAGGTTGTAGTATTGGACCGAGGGAAGAAGCGTGCGGCCTGATGGACGTGTGACTAACCGACCCAATCGTTCAATCCACCGAAAGTCGGCAACTCAGCTCAAGGTAATTTTAGCCAGAATAAACGTTGTGAGCAAGCGTAAACCAAAGGAAATGGAGCCAGCGACAGAATGCAAATAACAAGGATGAGCCAATGAAGTGGACTGTCGCAAATAATGTATATATTCTGTAAAGATGCTAGCGTACTCTTAATAAACGATTTAGTGATCGCGACCTAGTCTTCTTGATTTCCGGGGAGCTACTCTTCAGTGGGTGAGACATTTTTTGTTGACAGGCTCTATTCTGACTGGATTATCATCGGCGTGCGTTCATGTGAGCAGGGGTGCCGTGGTATTTACGCGGTTGATAAAGCAAATTGGTTATGTGTCGTCTCACTCCGGTCCCTGTTGCCCATGCTACACTCTGTTCCCCTGCGTGCGTTGTCTCCGTTCACGCTACTGATGCGACCCTAACACCACCCTGTAGTGCGATGTTTAGTGGATTGTCCATGAGGACAGTTTGATGAGCCTGTGTCTGTCAATGCTTGCCTCGTATACACCCCACTTTCGCATATCAGACGGGGATAGACGTAAACACACACGTTTCCCTTGTGGTTTCCGCCTATTTGCAATGCTGCACACGCATCGCGCTGCGAGATTACAACCGACACCACATTCATTGGCGTTAGGATACCCCAACTGTAGCACCATTTGAACAGATGTGGCGGATACTGATCCTCTCACGGTATATATCGCAGCTACAGAAAATCAAAAAGCCAAGGTCGTGTCGCACTTATTATGCCTTCTAAAACTGATACGTTGGACTGACGTTTCAGTATTTGCCTCATACAGACCTAACTGATCGTGCATATTCCCAGTCTCATTTGTCGTATAACGGTTACTGATGACGCTGACTTGAAGACCTTCATGGACAACCTGTATTGGTCCATAGTCTGTAGGAAACTGATCGAAAGTACTTTCATGCTCTGGCAGGGAATCGTCAACTGCATCCTATCTGCTGCATCGCGCGAGGCGAGTAGGAGTGAGGGTGTTAGTTCTCACGCCTTTTCGTCCCCAGTGTCTCACTCCCACTTCACTTTTCTCTCTTCCCCGTTTTTCAGTCCCCAATTCCCGGGCCCCCCTCCATATTTCTTTGATAAGCATTTTTCGTCTTTTTTCAACTCGCAAACAATAATGGAGCGTCACTTCTGTCCTGTCAACAGTCCGTTTCCAGCCAAGCGGACGACCCCAGTTTATGCGCTTCTGTTTGAGTCTCTTGATCCTCCCCAATACACTGACATGCCACAACTTTCGCACTTTGTTACTGATCGATCATCAAAAACATCATATAACCTTTCAATCTATATCTGCTACTTGTCGGACACCGAGCTGTGCTTACGTTGCGATTCGCTTCATGTGTCACCAGCGCCACTTCCCATCGCATCTGTCCGGAGAAGATCCAGCTCCGAATACCGGTCAAGCTGGTATGGGCATTGCTCTAAGATCTCGGGCTGAAGCTGATCTGGTAGACTGAATCAAATTAATAGCCAGATGTTACGTCTTCCGACTGGCTGATTCGTCAAAAGCTTCGATGTCGCTTGTAGCCATTCGATGCCTGCATGTCATTGCCACCTCCTCCTCCACAAACGGTAGCGCTGATTCGGTGAAGGATGACTTCTTACCGACCTTGAATGAGCTGCTTCATCACAGAAGAAACCCGGGTACTGTAATGCTGTTTGAGTATCTGGGTGCACAAATTAGAATATTTACATCTGATGAACTCAATCTGGGTAGCCAACACGGGATTGGCTCATGTAATGAAGACGTTGATCGGCTGCTACCCCTGTGTAAAATGCTAGTCTACTTCTCGCGAGCACTAACTTCCGACACAGCGATTGCCTCGGATTCACACAATGCACACCAGCCAGTCATGGATGCAGATTGATCACATCGTGCTCAGTTACGGTTGAAGAGGCTGTGTCTAAGACTGTTGCTCGAACTGAGCATAAGTATGGACTCCGACTATGCACTTGTATATACTTATCTGCGAATTTGTTTTCGCGGACGCCCACGTGGACGCTCAAGCGGATAGGCACTTGCCAATTAGTGAAGCTAGATGTTGCAATTGCGTCATAGCACGTCAGAATCCTGACTGAGACACACCTACTAAACCCAATTGAAGATCCCTCTTCACATATTCACCACGTTTTATCAATCAAACGCATGTCTTGCGTAGCACTCTCCATTTCCAATCTAGGCGGTGAGTCTCTTTGTTATCTGTGGAGTTTGTCGATACCATACGACACATTCCGTTTGGAAGTGACTACGATTGAAGTCGCAGTGGTCTCAGGACATAATTGCGTGCTTGCATGGAAAGAGACCGTGAAACATTGTAGTTCTATCGTATATGGTACATCGGAGATGGAAATAGCTATTGCTCTTAGCATTTATCGGAAGTTATTCGTCTCATACGGAAAACAGGAATCAAGAGACCTTGTTTTAGCAGAATTGCATGCGACGAGAGTAGTCACTCTATCCACAATGTACGTAAACACTTGAAGCGGCGGGCTAAACGCTTTTGAGGCACTTTAATCGGCCAGAATTACCAGGTGTTCGTTGCTGATCCGGAATCTCGCTGTTTCATGTGCCATCCTTTTTTGATGTGCTGTCGCGCTCGGAATTTGAACGTGTACATGACCTGATGGAATGGAATGAAACAGCTGAATCACATGGACTTCCTTCTACCACTTTCATATTTTAGTAACCAAATCCTCCAGGGGCAAGAAACTGTCCCAACCGATTAAAGCTGATCCTTACAGTCCCGGTTCTCATGAGGTGACTCACATTCGGAATGCCTTAACCATGGGGGTATCGGTTTACACTCAACTATATCTAAGTTACCTTCGTCGTCCTTAGGTTGACTGGCGCCGGAGAAAGCGCGATTTGTGAAACAGGAGCCGGCTTTTGTTGGAATCGAGGTTCTTTTTATTATACCCACTCGTTAGTTATTGGAACACCATCACCTGTAGTGACGACCCACAATAACTTAGTTCTTCAACATCAAAGGTACCTTCTATTCAGTGAACCGATGTGCCCAAAAGATGCGCAAAACTCAGCTGAAGGCTGTATGCGCTTAGTTTATGTGAACTGGACGCTTATTGTGTCGGCCGCACGACTGCTTCCACCCACTAACAGTATTGAGAACATGATCGGCAATCCGTGTACAAAACAGTGTTACTCGGCGCGAACCAAACAGGTAGCCAAGCGTCCGTGAGTATAAATCAACCGAATAATTCAAATTAGCTTATAAACACAGGCTATGCAGAAAGGCTGATATTCGGTTAATCAAGACTGGTCAGTTCAAGAGCCTCAAGGTGCTTCACGAACGAGCGAAATACACAGAGTAAGAGAAAAGCTAATAAGATTCAATGTCAATACAAGCTAATCACAAATGTGAGACAAACAGGAACATGTATACGGGGAACCATACAAGAGGGCGGGCTGAGTAAGGGTTTGGCAAAATCACAAAACAACGGGGAGTGGTGGATTTTTTTCCCACCTCTATAACAAGGCTTATGGCAAACCGTTGCAACAAGACTAAACCATAACCTGGTGTGACGGTTTGCGTACCTCTGACCCATTGAGCCATACTGGATGGTGCTCCCGAGCCTCTTGAGACTTACTCTTACAAGGTTTGTCAGTGGTTAGAGGTCAGACAAACTCAGTCTCCTGGTCCTCCATTTTGGGGTTTAAAATGGGATGGCGTC